AGGCTCACCGGCGGAGGTGGGGAGGGAAGGCTCACCGGCGGAGGTGGGGAGGGAAGGCTCACCGGCGGAGGTGGGGAGGGAAGGCTCACCGGCGGAGGTGGGGAGGGAAGGCTCACCGGCGGAGGTGGGGAGGGAAGGCTCACCGGCGGAGGTGGGGAGGGAAGGCTCACCGGCGGAGGTGGGGAGGGAAGGCTCACCGACGGAGGTGGGGAGGGAAGGCTCACCGACGGAGGTGGGGAGGGAAGGCTCACCGACGGAGGGTGGGGAGGGAAGGCTCACCGACGGAGGTGGGGAGGGAAGGCTCACCGGCGGAGGTGGGGAGGGAAGGCTCACCGGCGGAGGTGGGGAGGGAAGGCTCACCGGCGGAGGTGGGGAGGGAAGGCTCACCGGCGGAGGTGGGGAGGGAAGGCTCACCGGCGGAGGTGGGGAGGGAAGGCTCACCGACGGAGGTGGGGAGGGAAGGCTCACCGACGGAGGTGGGGAGGGAGGCTCACCGACGGAGGTGGGGAGGGAAGGCTCACCGACGGAGGTGGGGAGGGAAGGCTCACCGACGGAGGTGGGGAGGGAAGGCTGGCCCGTGTAGTCTAATCCAAAGAATGCCTACTGGAGCTCAAATTGCTAAAAAAGCGAACGCTGGTTCTGATAGAAAGGTGTCAGAACACACAGAGCATTGCAGTTTGTTGTGTATGGAACTGTGTAGCCGCAGAGCGGTCAGGGTGCCCATGCTGACCCGTGTCCACAGCCCAAGATGCCTACAATGGGCACATGAGCATCAGAACAGACAATGGAGCAATTGAAGAAGGTGGCCTGATCTGATGAATTCAACATTGGTTTGAGGGTTCAAGAATCTGTGGGATGTGCTGGAAAAACAAGTCTGATCCATGGAGGCCCCACCTGAAGATTCCCCCCCACCCCTTCCTGACCAGGCCATTTTTTGGGCTACGGCGCTGCGTTACTTTGACAATTGCGCGGTCATGCAACACTACACCCAAATTAAATTTACGTCCTTTTCCCCCCACAAATAGAGCTTTCTTTCGGTGGTAATTGATGGCCTGTATGGTTTTTATTTTTTGCGCTATAAACAAAAAAAGACCAACAATTTTGAAAAAGAAAAACTAAATTTTTGACTTTTTGCTATTAAACATCTCCAGTAAAAAATAAAAAAAATCTAATTTGATCATAAATTTAGGCCAAAGTGTATTCTGCTCCGTGTCTTTGCTAAAAAAAAAAAAAAAATCCCAATACGTGTAAATCAGTTTACATGAAGGTTATAGCGTCTACAAATGGCGGTATATATACTTATATACTGGATTTAAGTAATGGCGGCGATCAGCGACTTATAGCGGGACTGCGGCGGGCATTCTGACACTGGGGGGGGGGAACTGACTTGGTGTCACTGACATCCCCAGTGACACCAATACAGTGATCAGTGCTAATAAAAAGCACTGACACTGTACTAATGACACTGGGCAGGAAGGGGTTAACATCTGGGGAGATCAAAGGGTTGTGCTCTTTAACTATGGGGGCTGTGTGTGCTTCACTGTAAGCACACTGCTATGCAGAGCCATACAAAGCAGTGTGCAGGAGCTGACAGGGGAGAGATCTGTATTGTTTATACACAAGTCTCTCCGCCATCAGTGATACTCGGAGATCGCCGGTGCCGGTGGGGAATCACCAGCCGGGACCCGGTGATCGACAGCCGAGGCCGCGAAAGGCGGCGCGGGTAGGGCATGTGCGCCCCCTACTCATATATGCTAACTCACATATATATACGTGATTTTGCGCAGCCATGCCGCCCTGTAGCAGTATTTCAGCTATTGGGCAGCGCGCAAGTGGTTAAGGTTTGACAGGCTGGGTATCTAATTACTCGGTGTGACCTCATCTTTTATATTTTACAGTATAAATGCAGTCATTTATTGCGTTTGTGTACCTTAAAATTACCTTTAATGTGTTTTGGTTTTTTTACGGAAATGTTGCGACCAGTTATAAGTGATATTTATTGTTTGCGACGTGACATTTTAAATACTATTTGTTATGTTTGGATATTTAAAAAAAAAGAAAAAAGGCCAAATTCTCAGAACAAAGCCCTCAATGCTGGAGAAACTGCGGTCATGAAAGTTGCATGAAAGTCGGACTAAAGTAGTGCAAGAACTACATGCATGTTCTCCATGTGCCTGCGTGGGTTTCCTCCCACACCCCAAAGACATGCTGGTAGGTGAATTGGTTGTCTACATTGTCCCTAGTATGTGTATGTATGAATGTGAGTTAGGGACCTTAGATTGTACACCCCTCGAGGGTTAGGGACCTTAGATTGGACGCCCCTCAAAGGGGTAGGGACCTTAGATTGGACGCCCCTCGAGGGTTAGGGACCTTAGATTGGACGCCCCTCGAGGGTTAGGGACCTTAGATTGGACGCCCCTCGAGGGTTAGGGACCTTAGATTGGACGCCCCTCGAGGGTTAGGGACCTTAGATTGGACGCCCCTCGAGGGTTAGGGACCTTAGATTGGACGCCCCTCGAGGGTTAGGGACCTTAGATTGGACGCCCCTCGAGGGTTAGGGGACCTTAGATTGGACGCCCCTCGAGGGTTAGGGACCTTAGATTGGACGCCCCTCGAGGGTTAGGGACCTTAGATTGGACGCCCCTCGAGGGTTAGGGACCTTAGATTGGACGCCCCTCGAGGGTTAGGGACCTTAGATTGGACGCCCCTCGAGGGTTAGGGACCTTAGATTGGACGCCCCTCGAGGGTTAGGGACCTTAGATTGGACGCCCCTCGAGGGTTAGGGACCTTAGATTGGACGCCCCTCGAGGGTTAGGGACCTTAGATTGGACGCCCCTCGAGGGTTAGGGACCTTAGATTGGACGCCCCTCGAGGGTTAGGGACCTTAGATTGGACGCCCATCGAGGGTTAGGGACCTTAGATTGGACGCCCATCGAGGATTAGGGACCTTAGATTGGACGCCCCTCGAGGGTTAGGGACCTTAGATTGGACGCCCCTTGAGGGTTAGGGACTGATGTGAATGTACAATATATATGTAAAGTGCTGCGTAAATTGACGGCGATATAGAAGTACCTGAAATAAACATTTTGTGTTGTAGATCTGTGGCGCAGGCCGGTATTCGACGCTTTTTGGCTAAGATTGTTTAAACGTGCGCAAAAAAAAACATACAAAAACAGCTCTGGCAGCGAAAGGGTTAAAGCAAAACCAAACCCACCAATTTAACTTTGAAAGCACGCCTTGACCGATCATGGTGACGGTCGCTAGGGAGCCGAGGTCAGCTTTCACCTGAGCGGTGGAGGTGTGCTGTAGCATGGACTGCGCAGAACGGCCAGGGTAGTGACTGGGAATCATTCCACACCATTCAGTGCAGCTTCAGGGTCGCAGGCTGCAGCAATGTCACATGTGAACCCCTTATGGGCGACAAACCCTTTAAGGAGCGCAGATGCAAAGTGTACTTTAGTACATAGGACTTCCATTCAGTAAACTTTAGCCAACAACACAAGCAATGTTAAATTACAGGAGAGACATACCTAGAGCTGCTGCTGGATCATGCTGGAAGAGGGTTTGTCCTTGGACACACACATCATGGCTGCCTGGAGCTGACACTTACCATAGAGAGGAGCCCTTCCTGCCAAGGCCTGTACATCACTGCCCTCTGGTGGCCAGGGGGGGAATCCATATAGATTGCAACTGCGTGAGCAACACTGACCTCTGTTGGCCAGAGATCAGAATGGATTGCCTTTCCCCGCACCACATCGCCCTCTAGAGGACAAAAATGAGCATAGCTTACTACTGCTGGTGCAACATCACACTCTAGTGGCCATAATAGATTGCTGCAGGCAAGGTTCGCAGATCTGCCAACCGAATATTTATCCAACACTTGCTATTGCATTTTACTCCGCATAGTATGTTGCTTTTGTTTGTGTGTCTTTTATTTATTTTATTTTACTTTTTATTTTAATTGCATCCTCCTAGAGCAGAAACAAAACTCCTCCTACAAGCTTTAACCAGTGCCCTGCTGGACACTGATAGAAGTCACAAGACTGCTGTAACTGCTGATGAGAAAAGGGATTTAGCAGTTTATATTTACTAAAATAATTGCATTTCCATGTTCTGTGTACTGTGGGAGACCAGATATAGTGAATGCAGGGTCCGGGGAGAGTGGATATAGTGAATGCAGGGTCCAGGGAGACCAGATATAGTGAATGCAGGATCCGGGGAGACTGGATATAGTTAATGCAGGGTCCGGGAGACCAGATATAGTGAATGCAGGGTCCGGGGAGAGCGGATATAGTGAATGCAGGGTCCAGGGAGACTGGATATAGTGAATGCAGGGTCCGGGGAGAGCAGATGTAGTGAATGCAGGGTCTGGGGAGACCAGATATAGTGAATGCAGGGTCCAGGGAGACTGGATATAGTGAATGCAGGGTCCTGGGAGACTGGATATAGTGAATGCAGGGTCTGTGGAGAGCAGATGTAGTGAATGCAGGGTCCGGGGAGACCAGATGTAGTGAATGCAGGGTCCGGGGAGACTGGATATAGTGAATGCAGGGTCCTGGGAGACTGGATATAGTGAATGCAGGGTCTGTGGAGAGCAGATATAGTGAATGCAGGGTCCGGGGAGACTGGATATAGTGAATGCAGGGTCTGGGGAGGCCAGGTATAGTGAATGCAGGGTCCAGGGAGACCAGATATAGTGAATGCAGGGTCCGTGGAGACCAGATACAGTGAATGCAGGGTCCGGGGAGACGATATAGTAAATGCAGGGTCCGGGGAGACCAGATACAGTGAATGCAGGGTCCGGGGAGACCAGATATAGTGAATGCAGGGTCCGGGGAGACCAGATATAGTGAATGGGGGGTCCGAGGAGACCAGATATAGTGAATGCAGGGTCCAGGGAGAGCGAATATAGTGAATGCAGTGTCCGGGGAGAGCGGATATTGTGAATGCAGGGTCCGGGGAGGGAGACCAGATATAGTGAATGCAGGGTCCGGGGAGAGCAGATATAGTGAATGCAGGGTCCGGGGAGACCAGATATAGTGAATGCAGGGTCCGGGGAGACCAGATACAGTGAATGCAGGGTCTGGGGAGACCAGATATAGTGAATGCAGGGTCCGGGGAGACCGGGATATAGTGAATGGGGGTCCGAGGAGACCAGATATAGTGAATGTAAGGTCCAGGGAGAGCGAATATAGTGAATGCAGTGTCCGGGAAGAGCGGATATAGTGAATGCAGGGTCCGGGGAGACCAGATATAGTGAATGCAGGGTCCGGGGAGAGCAGATATAGTGAATGAAGGGTCCGGGGAGACCAGATATAGTGAATGAAGGGTCTGGGGAGACCGGATATAGTGAATGGGGGGTCTGAGAAGACCAGATATAGTGAATGCAGGGTCCAGGGAGAGTGAATATAGTGAATGCAGGGTCCGGGGGAGAGCGGATATAGTGAATGCAGGGTCCGGGGAGACCGGATATAGTGAATGCAGGGTCCGGGGAGAGCAGATATAGTGAATGCAGGGTCCGGGGGAGAGACTGGATATAGTGAATTCAGGGTCCGGGGAGAGCGGATATAGTGAATGCAGGGTCCGGGGGAGACCATATATAGTGAATACAGGGGTGCGGGGAGACCGGATATAGTGAATGCAGGGTCCAGGGAGACCGGATATAGTGAATGCAGGGTCCTGGGAGACCGGATATAGTGAATGCAGGTTCCGGGGAGACCGGATATAGTGAATGCAGGTTCCGGGGAGACCAGATATAGTGAATGCAGGGTCCGAGGAGAGCGGATATAGTGAATGCAGGGTTCGGGGAGACCAGATATAGTGAATGCAGGGTCTGGGGAGAGCGGATATAGTGAATGCAGGGTCCTGGGAGACCGGATATAGTGAATGCAAGTTCCGGGGAGACCAGTTATAGTGAATGCAGGGTCCGGGGGAGACCGGATATAGTGAATGCAGGGTCCGGGGAGACCGGATATAGTGAATGGGGGTCCGAGGAGACCAGATATAGTGAATGCAGGGTCCAGGGAGAGCGAATATATAGTGAATGCAGTGTCCGGGGAGAGCGGATATAGTGAATGCAGGGTCCGGGGAGACCAGATATAGTGAATGCAGGGTCCGGGGAGAGCAGATATAGTGAATGAAGGGTCCGGGGAGACCAGATATAGTGAATGAAGGGTCTGGGGAGACCGGATATAGTGAATGGGGGGTCCGAGGAGACCAGATATAGTGAATGCAGGGTCCGGGGGGAGACCGGATATAGTGAATTCAGGGTCCGGGGGGAGAGCGGATATAGTGAATGCAGGGTCCGGGGGAGACCAGATGTAGTGAATACAGGGTGCGGGGAGACCGGATATAGTGAATGCAGGGTCCAGGGAGACCGGATATAGTGAATGCAGGGTCAGGGGAGACCAGTTATAGTGAATGCAGGGTCCGGGGAGACCAGTTATAGTGAATTCAGGGTCCGGGGAGACCGGATATAGTGAATGCAGGTTCCGGGGAGACCAGATATAGTGAATGCAGGGTCTGGGGAGAGCGCATATAGTGAATGCAGGGTGCGGGGAGACCGGATATAGTGAATGCAGGGTCCTGGGAGACCGGATATAGTGAATGCAGGTTCCGGGGAGACCAGTTATAGTGAATGCAGGGTCCGGGGAGACCAGTTATAGTGAATGCAGGGTCCGGGGAGACCAGTTATAGTGAATGCAGGGTCCGGGGTTTAATAACACTTTAATTAGAGCAAAACTTTCATCAAAATATTAAAATATCCTTTAAATATCTATTATTATTATTATACAGGATTTATATAGCACCAACAGTTTGCGCAGCGCTTTACAAAATGAAGGCAGACATTACAGTTACAATACAATTTGGTACAAGAGGAAACAGAGGGCCCGGCTCATTAGAGCTCACAATCTAAGAGGAAGGGTTGAGTGTACAAAAGGCAATGGCTGTGGGGGGGATGGGCTGATGGAGGATATAAAAGGCAGTTTACTAGTTAGAAGCAGGATAGGCTTCTTTAAATAGAAAGGTTTTCCGGGATCGTCTAAAGGTGGATGGATTATGAGATAGCCGGACATATTGGGCTAGGGAGTTCCATAGGATGGGAGAAGCTCGGGAGAAGTCCTGGAAGTGAGCATGGGAGGAGGTGACACGGGAACTAGAGAGCAGGAGGTCTTGGGAGGATTGAAGAGAACAATGGTTTTGTAACAGTTGGCTTTTAGGGTGATTTGTAATAGAATTGTTCAATTTTCTGGCACCCTAAAAGTCCATTGGTACAAATCTATTCATCAAAATATTATTTATAAATCACTGGGGTAGAGTGTAGTATGCCTTTAAATGGTTTCATACTATAATTAGAGGTCTTATATGGAGGGAATAAAAACACAGAATATATTTTATTTATTACAGGTACTTTTATAGGGCCATCAATTTACACAGCGGCGGACTGACAACTCATGGGGCCCCTGAGCAATAGGGGATCATGGGGCCCCTGTGTCCTTGCACAAACTCAAAAAATCCTATGAAAAAAGGTACCAGGGGCATCTCATGGGGCCCCCTACTGACCCCAGGCCCTCAGGCAGTGCCCGAGTTTCCAAACGGTCAGTCCGCCCCTGGTTCTACATACATATTGTACATTCACATCAGTCCCTGCCCTCAAGGAGCGTAAATACTGTATATACAGAAACATGACAGCATCAAAACTTATGAGGGTGGTATAGCTAACCTCAATCAGTGCAGGAACAAGGTCATCCAGCATTCAGGGGAAAGATGTCCCCCCCCCCCCCTCTAGTTTATGATGTGCAAGCTTGGAGGATCCTATCCCCAGCAGTCACTCGCTTGTCAAAATCACTGGCACTATCACTACTCCCCTGTCCCTACAGCCAGAGCTGCTGTTAGAAACCACAGGGGCCCCTTATAGCCAACCTGACAGGGCCCTCCAAACCACAGGGCCCCATACAGCCAACCTAACAGGGCCCCCCATGCCCACAAAAAAACACAGTTTACTATGCTTCAGTTATGAATGAACACAGTGAGTGATATGTACCGATCACTCATTGTGTTCATTCAGGAATGGAAGAGGCTGGTAAATTACTGGAACCGATCCCCTGTACGTTTTCTCTCTGCAGTAGCTGAAAGCCAGCCAGGGGGGAGGAGAAAACCCAACTTTCAGCTGCTGCAGGGAGAGCCATATAGGGGATTGGTTCCAGTAATTGCCCCGTTAACCCTTCCTGCCCACATCCAATTCACCCAGCTGCCTGGGCCCCCCCTGCAGGTCTGGGCCCCATACAGGAGGACTGTATCCACGGCCCTGCCTACAGCAAACCACTGCGCCCAGGGTAGCCGTCACTTCTGCCCACCCCTTGTCCCAGCCCTGCCCCAATCCATGGGTAAGTTTATTATAGCTGTGCGCAGGGGCGGACTGACAACTTATGGGGCCCCCGGGAAATAGGGGATCATGGGGCCCCTGTGTCCTTGCCCACACTCAAACCACACCCAAAGAAGCCTATGAAAGGTACCAGGGGCATCTCATGGGGCCCCCTTCTGACCCCGGGCCCTCAGGCAGTGCCCGAGTTTCCAAATGGTCAGTCCGCCCCTGGCTGTGCGGGTGCAACATTATGTTGGTTGGGGTAAGGGGATCCACCATCTATATCATTTAGGGCTGGTTCACACTACATGCGTTTCAGTTGCTTTTTTTCTGCATCCAAAACGCACAGAAAGTAGGTGATATGGCTGTCAATGTCATAGTTCACATCAGCGCTTGCAGTTCCGGATGCAGAAGGAAAAAAAAAAAAGTAGAAAAGGCTGCATTTTTCCTGCACAGAACTGTACTGGAATGCGGTAAAACGCATCAAAAACAGCGGAACCTACCAAATGCACAAATTGAACCATCTATTGAACATCTATGGGGCAGGTTCACATCTCTGCGTTTTCACCCGGTGCGTTTTTGTGGAAAGGGTCAGGAACTTTTTTAAACGCAAAGCGTTGTGTTGTGACTCAATAGACTTCAATGGAGATGCTGCAGAAATGCATGTTCCTAGGCAGGCTGTATTTGCATGCAGACCACCCTGATACTAAGTCTCCATGATTAAAATAATTAAAATCCCATTAATAAAAGGGGCGGGCCAGGGACAGTCAGGTTGGGGAGAAAAGAGCTAGCTGATGCCGGATCCTCCAGCCAGGAAATAAGGGGGGGGGCTCTATCTGACTTGCTGCAGCATCTAGTGCACATTATCAGAAGAAGCTCACAGTGTGCAGTGACATCAGAGTAAGACTCCATTCACACTTGTGCGAAAATCACACGATTTTCATTGCGACTTCAGAAGAGGGCAACTTTGGCTTTGATCGAGGATGATTGTTTGTGTTCTACAAAGTTGCACAAAAGTCACATTCAGGTGCGACTTTCATGCAACTTCGGAGGGTTTACATTGAAGTCTATGGCCCTCAAGTTGCATGAAAGTCGGAGTGCAGGAACTACATGCATGTTCTCCCTGTGCCTGCGTGGGTTTCCTCCGGGTACTCCAGTTTCCTCACACACTTCAAAGACATGCTGGCTCTATAACTGGCTCCTGTCTAAATTGGCCCTAGTATGTGTCTGAATGAATGTAGGTTAGGGATCTTAGATTGTATGCTCCTCGGGGGCGGGGGCTGATCTGAATGTACAATATATATGTAAATTGACGGCAATATATAAGTACCTGAAATAAATAAATAATAATAATGTCACACAGATATGAATGGTACTTATTGGGAAACACGGGATGCGACTTTGAACCCCCATGACAAATCGCACATATGTGAATGGGCTCTAAGCCATTTCAGTCCAGGAGAGAAGCCGGTACTGTGCAAGACTGAAGGGAAGGCCGAAGAGTTACCACGACCTTGACATCGCTACAACGAAGGTCGCGGTGTTTTTCTACAAGAAAACACAAGATGGAGGGGCGAGGTGTCGCCGCGGGTCACGCACTGCTGCCTCGCTAATTATTTCCCATCATGCACCGGGGTGAGAAGTCCAAAGTTTCCTCCACGCTTGACCGAAAATTGGTTTTGCAGTATGTGAGGAATGGATCCATTAATAGATGGAAAGTACCTAGGACATCGGAGCTCCGAATTTTATGACGAGCTCATCACATTCATCAATGTCAGCCGTCCCCCCCCCCCCCTCCATGTGAGCTCATTCATCTTCATTCTCCGTGACAGGAGACAATACAGAGCTGACGTCCTGAAATCACAGCTTTATTGGAGAGATGACCACAAAGGAACGGCCAATAATTATCCTGAGAAGACGCCAGCTGTGCGCCGATCATTGTATGGCGGTGTGCACCACGGTATGTGTGTGTGTCACATGAGAAAGATGACCCCCAATATATGGGGTCCCCCCAATACCAGGCAGTGCTGACATAAATAAAACGTTGAAGTGGATCAAAACCCAACCACTAAAATCTCCTAGAAGCTTTACCACTTGTTGACCAATGTCCATACACAGTCCTGGCCAGAAATCCTGCCCCCCCGGCAATTCTGTCAGATAATGCGGGCGATAATATCTGGCAGTACTAGGGTCATTGGTTCAAATCCCAACCATGGCACCACCTGCCTGGAGTTTGAATGTTCTCCCTGTGCCTGCAGGGGTTTCCTCCCACACTCCAAAGACATGCTGGTAGGTGAATTGGCTTCTGTCTACATTGGCCCTAGCAGGGCCGGACTGACAACTCATGGGGCCCCCAGGCAATAGGGATCATGGGGCCCCTGTATCCTTGCCCACACTCAAAAAGGCCTATAAAAAAGGTACCAGGAGCATCTCATGGGGCCCCCTACTAACCCCGGGCCCTCGGGCAGT